ATGGTAATCTGATGCGTCTTGTGCTTCAGAGATACCTGGGAAGAGTTCGAGTCGGAAGCTACCGAACATGTCTGGAGGCCGTTGCAGACCGCGATGCACTTGTTTCTCTGGGACCGAGCGACAAACTTTGTAATCAGGCTTGCTCGATATGCGATGCTGTGTATAGGAGCAGTGGGGGGGAAGAAACAGGAGAGGACGGGAGGGGAGGGGAGGGAAGAGGACAGGAGAGGAGAGGAGGTTAGGGGAGGGTGGGGGAGAAGGGGAGAGCTCTGCAGAGCAGAGGAGAAGAGGGAGGAGAAGAGAAGAGGAGAGAAAGGAGAAGAGGGAGGAGAAGAGAAGAGGAGAGGAGAAGTCGACAATCTCTTGGCTCGATGTCCCTCAGCTCGATGTGTTTGTTTGCTCTTGTTGTGGCTGACGCTCTTCGTCTGTTTCATGTCAGGGTCGAGACATTCATCGTATTCAACTCTCTCCTCTCATCCTCAAGGCAATCTGGCAAGCCGGATACTGCTCGCACATGTCGGCTGTCTCCTTCCTCCTCATCCCTTCTGCCTCCTGCTCTTCTAGCCTCTTCTCGCCTGCTTCTCTTGCCTGCGGCACCTCGACTTGTTCCTGACGGTCTCCAAGGCTCACTTCCATGTTCATGGACATGCCCTACTCGATTCGCTCTGCCTTCGACGCCGGATTGCGGGCAATTGAGAAGATCATACTCGGGCGAGTACTTCCTCCTCCTCCACCACCACCTGCTTCTGCTGATGCATTGGCTATCATTTCGCTCCCTCCTTCTCTCCCTCTCTCTCTTCTTGTACTCGTCTTCTCCTTGCTGCTACTCGTTGTTCCCATCAAGAAGCGTCTCCCATTCTTCCTCTGTTGTGTTACTCGTCCTCGCACGATGTGCTTGCGCCTGAGAGTCTCTCGTCAGGGGGAAGCTTGCTGAGTTCACTGCAATGAGGAGGCTGGAAGTCCCAGTCGGTAAAGGCCGAGCTGACACTGAAGATGAGGAGGAGGGAGGAGGGAGAGCGAGTCGGAAGGGAGGGGGGCAGGGGAGAGGAGGGGACGAGGACGAAGATATGGATGATAATGGGGGAAGTGCAGACGGAGAGGGAGAGGGGAAGAGACCAGGGCTGATAGGACGATTAGCAGCGGGACCGTACAGTATCGAACGTTTGAAGGAGACTATGACGTGGGATACCAGCACGGGGTAAGAGGAGGAGAGGGAGGAGGAGGAGGAGGAGGAGGAGGAGGAGGAGGAGGAGGAGGAGGAGGAAGAGGGGAATAGGAGGATGAAGCATGGAGCAGTTATTGGATCATGGACGTGGATCCTCAGACTATGTCGCGAACGAGATTAGAGGTCTGTACATATCCGTAACACAATCAAACTGCTCTGCTCTGCTCTGCTCTGCTCTGCTCTGCTCTGCTCTGCTCTGCTCTGCTCTGCTCTGCCCTCCCTTTCCCTCCTCTCCTCTCTATGCTCGTGCCAACTTCAAGTCCTCGCATTGCTCACATCTCCTGTCTGATCGTTTTTACCCATCAGGTCAGCTCCGGCATCGCAACCTTCATGAATGTGCACCCGGATGAGATGCTGGCACGTGTCGGCAACTGCGACAACCCGATACCACAGTCTCAGCTTGAGTTCTTCGGCAGCATAACATGTACCATGCCTCCCAACCAGCTCCATTTCTCTTCCACCACCACCTCTTCCTTTTTTTGGTCTCCTGTTCATTTCTCACCTGGACTTGTCGCAGATGAGATCGCTTTCATGCAGTCCTCCAAACTCGTGCGCAACCTCCGCCTCGTTCGCAGATGTCCGAAGGTGCGGCTCATGTGGACAGGGAGAGCAAGCAGAGCCTTAGCGGAGGAGGGAGGTCAGAGGCTGACGAGCGAGTCAGAGTGGCAAGCTACTCGACCCTATGCTTTGTCGATTGACTACAATCAGGGAGAGAGACAGTTTTGGGAGGTGAGGATCGTTTGAGAAGCTTTCTCCTCCATGTCTCCCTCCCCCTCCACACCTTCTCATCCTCCTCGTCCTCCTCGTCCTCCTCCTCCTCCTTGTCCTCCTCGTCCTCCTTGTCCTCCTCCTTCCTTTCATCCTCGTAGTGATCCCCAGCCCTGTTTCATGTCCTCCCCTGCCCTCTCCTTACTTCACTTCCCCTCTCCTCCCTCACGTTCATCGCTGCTCCCGCCGAGTGTCGCATCCTCTGCGTCTGACTCGCTCCTCAGAATGGTCAGAGTGATGAACATCCTTCAACGCCTCACGCCTTCCGACTACGACCAGGAGCTCATGTGCGCTGCCGCATGCTGGAGGAATGAGGCAGAGGCTGGGCAGAAGGGAAGAGGCTGAACTAGGAAGCGAGCGAAGGGGTCGCATGAGGAGGAAGAGCGCGGGGAAGAGAAGAGTAGAGGAGGAGGAGGAGAGCGGGGAGGGCAGGGAGCAGGAAAGGAGAGGAGAGGAGAAAAGAGGAGGGCTATGGTGACGATGCTGCAGGACAAAACCCACCACCTGCCGTCCTCTGCTATGGGTCATCGGGGATCAACGTAATGGAGACGACCTCCTGCAGTCAGCAAACTACGACTACCTCTTCTCGCAAAGCTTTCGTGGCATGAAGGAGACGATGGAGGTGAAGCCGCCTGTGTCACTGCTGATGCTGTGTTTTGCTGCCTCTGACCTGAGTCGCTTTTCCGTTGATAGCAGCTGATGTCCTCGCAGGGCCAGCGATCCCTGCTGCGACTACAACGGGAAGTCTCCCAGATCTTCAAGCCCTTTGTCGACTTCGCGGCATTGCAAACTTGAAGGAGCTGGAGCTGTTCGAGGGCAGGAGTTTATCTACAGATATAGTTCGAGGGCAGGAGTTTATCTACAGATATAGTTCGAGGGCAGGAGTTTATCTACAGATATAGTTCGAGGTCAGGAGTTTATCTACAGGTATGCGTATTCAAGCAAAGAAAAACAGACAAGAACAAGGTCGCTTTATGATACTAGACCCGAACCCCATGCTTACATGCACTGAACTTGCAACGGCCGGGCTGCACAAGTACTGTGATGAAAGGATGGGAAGAACTTTGAAAAGAGAGTGAAATAGAGCTTCGGTCTAGCTTTGCTCTAGCTTTGCTATGAATCGTGGAACATCAATGTCAAGCTGTTCACAACCTTCAAGTACAGATAGGATTGAAGTGGTGTACAAATGACATCATCTGGAGATTGTCGATCCGTTCGTTTCTTTTGCAACAAATCTCTAGCCCTTGTGTAAAGTTTCTGCGCAACAATATTTCTCTCACGAATGGATGCTGCATCTTGTTCTAACGCGCATAAAAGCAGTTCACGGATGTGCTGGACTGACGCTCATGATAACAAAGCTTTGCTTGTCGTTCTCTTCACGGTCAGCCTTACAGTCCTGAAGAATCCTGCATTAATCATAGTTTTGTCGATTGCGCAAACGTTCACTCCTTCCGTCAGCATACAAGATTCATTTTTCAAAACTCATCTATCATTCCTGTGCAAACTCCCGACCTATCATTTCCTTGCAGTTTCATGCGCTGCCTATCATGTTTTTGCAGAGCGGATTTGGATGGCAGAGGAAAAATTCGCAACATGCCGTATGTTTCAAATGTTACCGGCCGGCCCCAGTGAGAAGTTGGTATTCCTCTCCAATCCCTCGGTAACCAAACCTGGAATGACGGAGTGTGTATTCCTCATGGCGTGAACATTCTGACTAGCAAATGTTGTTCAGCAGGAATCTGTCTGATAAGATGGCGCCTGGATGTGGAGATCATTTCTGTGAAGAAGTTGCTGCGCTCGAATGTTGAATGCTTGCAAATCTGCATTGTAGCACCCCAGTATTTTTTCAAAACCCCAATGAGCTAAGCTCGCTGATCTCCTGGAGTAATATTCTGATATGTCTCATTGTTGTTGATAACATGACCATGATTGGAGGTAGCCCAGCGTGCAATATGCTCATACAATGCCTTGTGCTTCTGCTGATGATGCTTTACTTGGATTCAAAGTCTTTCCAGCTCATGATGCAATGTCCCCTCATTTCCATGTTGAGGAGAAAACAAATCTTGTAGCCCTCTAGTACCTAGACCTATCAACCTGCCTCGTACTTCAGACATGGATATTACGTAAGTGACAACAATAAAAAATGATTGTCTATAAAATCTGAGATCATTGCATCATCAGTAATGCTTTCTGGGTTGTAGCTGGGATTCTGGTTTGTTGCTATTGGAGACAGCGAGTGAATATCACATGCAAGAATGCTGTACGTTTCCTTGGTTGTTGTGGCGTGGGGTTGCTGCTCTGACGATGCTTTCAGAACGACCGAACTGACTTGTGCTTCATGATGGGATGGAGTTACGCATAGAGCGTGTGACTTGCTCTCGTACAGGGGAGGAGAACACGGTCAACTCGTCATGAGCGACCTGAATAAGTCAAGCTGTGCGGGTTAGGTGCAGATTTGTGGATACGGCTGTGTAGTAAAGACTATCTACCAACGCAGATAGTGGAAACTTTACACCCAACTCGCTATAATGCACCCGAGCGGCCGGGAAGAGGTTTTACTACCCCAGATTGCTTATACGTGCGAGCTGTGGTAAACAACAATCTGTTTATTTGACTGAAAAAGAAGGACAAACCGAAGCAAACAAAGGAGGGGGAGGATAGAGCCAACAAATCCGCCTCAATAAAATCTACCGGGTACTGTTTTATAACAATTTTAAATTAACATTACGCAAAAAAAAAAAACAGGATGGCCACCAAGGTGTCAGTCGTTGCCGAGGTACCCCCACCCCCACAGATTCCATGGATTCAGCCACCCCTGTATCAAAATAGCCTTAAATACGGCAGCGGATGTAAATCAACATTGTTTCAAGATTTTGCGCCTGACGACGAGGCTACCCCTGAATTTGATGTTACCTGTACCGGTAATGCTACCAACAAATAACCTTAAGGAGACATCCGGGCATCAAATCAGCCTTAATCTCGGTTTCGTTACGTTCAATATTGAAATTAACGCAATGTTGCATGATTTAACGTTATTATCTGACTACATTACAACAAATGTTTTAGCTGCTGACCTATAATGGACATTCAGCCCCGATCGGTACCCCATGAGGAATATGAATGACCAGAGACTGCTTTCCCTACCGGTCCTTGATGCTTAATTTACTGTCTTTTACAGGGTGGGGTATTCCAGCGCTGGGGTGGGTCAAGCAGGCTTTGCCCGACAATCTACATTAACCGAGCACGAGGAAGGCGATTCCAACAGTTCCCCTACGCCTCCTACGTCTCCTCCCTCCCTCCCCCTCCTCCTCCTCTACGTCCTCTCTCTCCTTCCTTGGACTCTCATCAAGAGCATCCAACCTCATCTCTGGAGTTATCCGTGGCTTTCAGTGCTGCCAGAACTAGTCACACGGTTTCATTACTCCATTTCCTCTTGACCTCAACTGGAGCTTCAAGTCAGCATAGTCATTGGTCTGCTCTCAAATAAGCAATTCTCCTTCTTCACTGAACAACTCCTCTTTTGAAAGAAACGATGGAGTCATACGATAAGAACATCTCCGAGATTCCTTTCGCTCTCACTATCTTAGAACCCTCCGATGTCCTCCACGGCTTTCCGGAAGACGCGAAATCTTCGGAGGCCTTTGCCGACATTGTGTTTGCAGACCAAGATGAAATGAGCTCGAACGAAGAATGGTCGTGCAACACTATGTTCAAGACTGCTTCCTCCAAGGAGACCATGGGAAGCTCCCCGCTTGATGAATGTTTTCTCCACTCCATCGCTAACAGGAAGCGATGCCGAAACTGGACAGACACGGACCGAGCAAAGCACAGCATCTACTGCAAGGGAAAGTCCAGGCTGTCCAAGGAGGAGAAATATCACATCATCAAGATGTGGGAGTCCAAGGACGACAGCTCGAGCTTGCAGCTCACTCAGTCACAGATCGCAAAGCTCTTCGATAAGAGCAGGTCTGCCATTTCCAAGATCCTCAGCCCCAAGAACGTGGAGAAGATCAAGCTCGAGTACGAGGCCTCTTAGACCAGCCGCTGGTTCTCTCCGCACATCAGCCACATGCTCGCAACTTCAACGACACGAGTATTCCACCACAAAGCTCCGCCGACAGAGACCATGAAAGATTCACGTGAAATGTCATTTTCAATGGTATTCTTCTTGTAGACACATGACAAGACTTTGATCTCCTTGGAGAGATTGAATGCCGTCAGACGCATCAGAAAAAATAGGCTCTGAGCAATATAAATGAAATTTATTCAAATCTCTTGACATGTTTGCTTGTTCATCTCCGATGTGGTAACCCTTTACCGACATAGATGGCAGCACACATGAGTTGTAAGAGCTTCCGACAGTTTACAGCTTCACAGACTCAACATTATGTACATACAGTCTAGCTGGTTAAACATTTACACGAGAGGGAGGGCGAAGCTCCTTCTAGTTTTCTCCTCCGGCCCCCATGCCTGCTACCTTAGGCCACACCTGCGCGACGTGAGAGAGGCTACTTGAGATCGCTCACTCACTGAGCTCGCGGAGAGCAGAAGAATGAGATCCTTTCCCTGCCGCTCCATGTCAGTCCCACGTCTCAGTCGCATGTCTCAGTCGCATGTCTCAGGGAGCAGCCGCGCATCTTGCCTGCCCTGTGTTGGCCATGTCCCTCGTCCCTCGCTGAACTTCCCGTGTCCGTGTCAGGATCGCCTGAGCTGCTGGTCACCTCGGGCCTCTTCTGCACACATCGCACTCGCCTTGACAAGCTGCGGCAGGTGAGCTCGAGAGCAGCTTGCTGACGGCCAGCTGGACTCCTGACGAGCGACCCCCAGAGCGCTTGACAACTGAAACCTTTCAGTCCAGCCATTCCCCAGCACAAGACTCACATGTCCCAAGAGGTCGCATTTCCGGATGAGAGTGAGGAGTGGCGACATGTCACGAGCATTGGCGAACCGCTGAGTCTGCTGGTCAGGTGCTGGGCGCAAGATAGCAACAAGTCTCGCTGACCACCATCAGGTCGACAGCTCGCAGGTGGATCATACAGCTGCTCCTGGACTGCTTGTAGAGCTGAGAAAGTTTTCAGATCCTCTCCTACTTCACTTCCCATCACCATCAGAGTTCGCATCGCGACATGATTCAGCAGAGTCTCAAACTGCACCCCAGCTGGATGGTTTTCTCGTATGATCTAGAGCAAAGTGAGTGTAGGAGACTTTCCGGCTAGCCCCCAGCTAGTCTTACCTGTATCTGAGCAAAGACGTTGAGAAGATAAAGGGCGCATAAGCCGCTCGGGGTGAAGTGCTGCTGCATGCCTGACAAGAGGCGTGAGGGTCGATCGGCGGTCAAAGTCATCCGACAGGTTTCCTCGTCCTCCTCGTCCTCCTGCACTTGAATCATGTCCTTGCGTCACAAGTATGAAGCCTACCAGGTGGCACAAGACTCGCGAGCCTCGACTAGCGAGCCCGGCGATGATGGGCGGGGTCTGGGGGGAAGGAGAAGTCAGCGAGCGAGGTCGGAAGCGAATGCAATCACGTTGTTGGGGTCAGTGGTGGGATCGTCCATCTCCCTGCTCGCACGCGCTCAGACGAGGCAAGAGAAAGTGGCAGAGAGGACTGACAGCTTAAGAAGAGCCTCCAGAACGGGGAGACTCCAGCACTTCCTCTGCTCTTCCAGTCAGGCACGAGACAAGAGGAGGAGGATCAGTCTCGACCTGGAGGGTGTGCTGGTGGCAGAGCTCGAGGACGCAGGCGATGAAGTCTTCCTTCTCGAAGCTGAGGACGAGACGTCAGCTGCTCTCCTCCTGCCCTCCGACCGGACCATTGTAGAGCCTCGCCCTTCCCGCTAGGGGTCAGCAGGGAAACCAAGACACCTGAAGCAGCCTCCGCCCTGCAAGGAGGGTCAAAGGTCAAGTGATGCAGTGGCGGCCTGGAAAGGCAGACCGGCAGGTCTTCTTGCAGCTCTGCTGTGCCACCATCCTGCAGCTGTCAATCTCGACCGGATCTCCGTTCAAGGACGAAAGAAGCATGCTGACGACACCAGACTCGACCCACATGTTGAGGCGCTCCCTGGACGCACGAGAGTCAGAGGAAGCGACTTATGCTCGTCCACCAGCATCAGTCCACCTGTCTGCCTGCACTGCTTGCTCAAACATCGCGGAGACGCAGGGCAGCCAGAGCAACTGAGAGGGTCAGGTAAGAGGAGGAGGAGAGAGAGAGAGAGCAACAGCGTCTGGACCTTGTGCGCACAAGAGATGAAGGAGCGAGTGTCGGCATGAAGAGCTTCAAGGAACTTCACGAGACAAGGCGAGTCGCTCCCCCCGGAGACAAAGCTGATGCACAGGCGGGACCAAAGCATGCAGTGAAACTCCAGCTGACCCACCAGCTGCTTGTCCTGCTCCCTAGACTCGCTGCCCTGCTCCACCGTCGCGGTGCAGTATCGGAGGAAGTGCACAACCTTGCGCATGAGAGCCCCGCTGTCTGCGATCGTCTTCATGCAGAAGGAGCCGTACGCGTGAGGGCCGCAGATCAGCTCGCAGGCAAGAGCAGGGAGGCGATGAAAAGAGTTCATGTGGCTGATCTTGTTCCCTTGGTCGGGGCGAATACACGAGGACTCCGAGGTTTCAGTCTCGTCCTTGGCCTCCGGAGAGGATAACGATTCCATGCCCAGCATACCTTCGATGAGAAGTTCGACCACCTGCAATGGCGATCAGCAAGACAAGATCGAAAAGAGAATTGAGAGCTTACCTCTGCGCTCTGTATGAAAGAAGCAAGATTCTTGCAAAGTTCTCCACTTTGAACTGTTTAGATTCAGTTCTCAGTGCAAGTACACTTGCAAGACGACGGGACCTCTTGCATAGAAAGCCTCGTCGTCTTCCAGCAATCTCGTCAGGATCTCCTGGCGGGCTCGCTAAGAGGATCAAGTGGAAAACAAAAGAGACTTCCAACTGACCAGGCGATCCTGACGAGAATTGAGCTCACCGCGAGAGAGGAGAAGCTCGTCTAGCTGCTGGCACTGCCAACAAAGTCACCAGCATCACTCGCACAAGTCACCAGCATCACTCGAACAAGTCACCAGCATCACTCAGCAACATGCCCACGTCTCTCTCACCTCGACCCCGTACCGCGGGCTCTCCTTCCCGATCAATGAAAACTCGTCATAATCCGGCTTTGGCTCGGGATACGATTCATCTTCTCCGCCAAAGTAGTCTTCGCTCTCCGGCATCACTCGCTTCCTCTCCTTCTGCTCCTCCATGCTCTCCCCGTCACTCCCCAGCGCCGCCTTGGCTGCTCGTCGACTGACCGGAGGGTCAAGGGCCCCCGAAGACAAGGAAGGGTCTCACCGAGCATAGACGGCAGACTGACCAGGTGAAAGAAGGTAAGTCCTGGAATCCTGCAGCAGCCGTCTCACGCACGTTCACCCGAGCAAGGGAAGGAGCTACTTCAGCTCCATGGTCGTTGGCGAGTGCCAGGGACAGCGGCTGATACCTGCTCACAGTTTGAAAGAGCCGCGAGCACGACCAAGTCACGAGTGAGCTGGTCAGGCAAGGACGAGAAATGCGATGCAGACAAGACAAACATGGAGAAGAAGAGACGGAGAGATGGTGAAGTGATTGCAAAGATCATGAAGACGAAGACAAGTAAGGAGAAGAGAAGATGTAAAGGATAATGCAAAGGTGGTCAACAGAATTGGCGGGACTGGGAAGGAATTCAAAAGACAAGATGGCGTGAAGTGAAGGAGAAGGCGGCTGATGCGAAGTAGAATCGCGTGGAGAACAAGAGAACGAGAGAACAAGAGAACGAGAGAACAAGAGAACGAGAGAACAAGAGATAGAGAGAGCGAGAGGGGAAGTAAGAGAAAGTTTCCTTGACTGCTAACCTGCTCCTCCCACTCCGTCTTGAGCCTGAGAAGGAAGAAGATCGTTCACATATCATGGGGAGAGCCTGGGACGAGAAAGCGCCATGCGGCGAGAGCTGGGCCTGACAACTCGCTGCTGTTTCATGGCTGAGGTCAGAGGAGCAGGCAGATAGCTCCATGGGCTGGCCGAGAGCAGAGCAGCAGCTCGTCTCCGTCTTGTTCTTCTTCTGAGAGCCCCCGCACCTGCTCTGACCCGGAAAGATGCTGTGCGGAGCTTCACTGAGCAGCTCGTCCTCCTCCTCGTCAAAGAACATCGGTCCTGAGCTTCCCGCCTTCCTCCGGCTGGAAGGATTGAGAGCACGTGAGATTCCTTCCAGGTCCCCTCCTCCCTCCCTCCACCTGCTGGGGGTCGGCGGGGGTACGTCTTCATCACCATCGTCTTCCATGCTCCTCAGGCTAGCAATGCTCATGAATCATCATCGTTGGCAGGTGTCGCATGATCGGCAGAACACATCATGTGAGATCTCAGATGTGAGGAAGTAGCCTGGTGTCGACAAACACAATCAGCCACTAGCACAAATGCACCTCCTCGCCTTGTTCTGCTACTTCCATCCGCTGGCTCTTTGAAGGAATCCCTTCGAACCGTGTGTTTGACCTCATCCTTCCTACCGTGGACGATGTTGCTACTCACAACGCGTCTTGATCCAGCCATCATCTTCAGTGTACACTAGGCTTTCGGATCAGCTCAAACCCATCGATTTGACCGATTTCAACAGCCCCTCTCCCACGAACTCTCAACTCATCTCCTGGCTATCCCATCCGTCATGGCACAAGTTCACGCTCGGAGAAGCATGTTTCTCCTCCCAACCCTCTCCCATTCCCCCAATCCCTCCCTCGCCTCCACCATTGTCTTTCCCTCCCGCTCTCTTTCATTTTTGTACTTCATCTCCGTTTTCCCTATGCACCGTTATATCCGTTACAAATGTCCGGACACCCGGCGGCCCGGCAGTGACTGAGGACTCCCGGCACTGACTGAGGACTCCGGGCTACTTATAAACTAGGGAGGAAGAGGGGAGGAGGAGGAGGAGGAGGAGAAGGAGGAGGAGAAGGAGGAGGAGGAGGAGAGACTGATCTGATCGAGCTCGCTTCCTTTCATTTCAAGCACGATGCAGAGATTGAGCATGAGAATCTCCGCCATGCTGCTGTTGCTGCAAGGTCAGCGAACTTCTTTGATCGTTTCAGCAGCTGTCGTGCTGAACCCGCTTGCCTGACAGATCTCTTTGTCCTGTCATTTTGCTTCATGACTCCTCCGCTACTCATGCCAAAGCTTCGCTCAAACCTTGCCATGCCCTGCAAGGAGGGGCATGCATCGTCCATCAAGCTCGCCATGGTGGCGCCAGGGCAGCAGAAAGTCCAAGTTCGGTCCTGGGAGCAGTCATGGCTGCAGTTGGTGGACTGGGCAGAGAAGGAGAAAATCAAGTGGTCAGGTTTTAAGGTAAGCTCCTCCTCCTCCTCCTGGCTTCTTTTCCTGCTTCTCCACCACCAGCAGCAGCAGCAGCTCCTCCTCCTCCTCCTCCTCCTCCTCCTCCTCCTCCTCCTCCTCCTCCTCCTCCTCCTCCTGCCCCAGCTTCTGCAGCAGCAGCTCCTCCTCTCCTTTCATTTTCCAAAGTCTGGCTCGCAGGTAGATGACGTTGGTGGCTATCGTGGAGCTATCGCAACGAGGTGAGAGGGGAAGCAGAGGAAGAAACAAAGCATGAAGCAAGAATCAAAGAGCAGTAGGGATAGGAAATGAGAGTGTGGAAATAGATAGGAGAGGGAGGAGGAGGAAGAAAAGAAGGAACGGGGCTGGGGGAGGTCAGAAAGTGGCTGTACTGAACGAAGGGAACAAGATTTGTCATCATGTTACATGGCAGGTCATTGAAGGAAGAGGACGTCATCGTTGTCTCTCCTCGAGAGTCAACTCTTCTTGTCCAGGAAGTAAACAAACTTGATCGTTCCTCCTCCTCCCCCCGTAACATGATGATAGTCTCTTTACATCCTCCGTTCCCCTTCTCCCTCCTCCCTCCTCCCTGCTCCCATCCTTTTCTCTCCACATCTCTTCTATTCCCTCCTCCTCCCCCTCTCCCATCCTCTCCCTTGCCCTCTCCTCTTCTCTTCCCCCCTCACTCCTTTTCTTCCTCCTCTCTCCTCCTCTCTCCTCCTCTCTCTTCCTCTCTCCTCCTCGCTTCATGTCTCACCTCAACATGTCAGCATGACGAGTGTCCTTTCCCGCCGGACTTCCTCGACCCTCAGTGAGTGGCAGGAAGAGCAGGAGGGTCTTGACGCTCCTGCAGGTACTGGGACGAAATCCACGAGTACTGGAACCTGAGGTAGGGGGGGAAAGGAAAAACTGAGGCCAGGGGGGAGGGGGCGGGGGAGGAGGAGAGAGGAAGGAAGGAACAAGTGGGAGAGTGAAGGGAGGGATGAGGGAGAGTTGAGGAATGCTGTTGGATCGAGAGTCTATGGGAGGAGCAGAAAGTCAAGAAAACATTCTGACAAGGAGAGGAAATGGCGGGAGAGAAGAAACGAACGGCAGAAAAAGATTTCAGAAAGAAGGAAGGAATGTGAAGAAGAGGAGGATCAAATCTACATGGAGGAGGGTCAAATTTCAAGGGAGGAGGATCGAATTTCAGGAGGAGGCGTCAATTTGTGACTTATGAAATTCAGAATGGCGTTACGGCTGATCTACGAGAAGAGGAGAGGAGAGGAGAGCAAGTGGTACCAATACATTCAGATCCTACCAACGTAAGAAATAGACATATATCGTCATGAGGAGATATTCTGCTAACCTTGTGAGACAGGAACTTCGACGTTCCTCTGCTATTTTCGCAGGACGAGCTGAAAGAGCTGCAGGATCCTCTTTTTATCCATGAGGTTGCTCGCTCTGCAACTTCCTCCTCCTGCTCCTGCTCCTGCTCCTGCTCCTGCTCCTGCTCCTGCCTCCGCCTCCATCTTCTCCTCCTCCTCCTGCTCCTCCTCCTCCTCCTCCTGCTCCTGCTCCTGCCTCTGCCTCCTCTTTCTCCTTCATCTCATCCTCATCTTCCTCTTCTTTGCAGTTCGTTTCTCCCTTCAGTCTCAACCATCCTGCCCTCTTTCATTCTTCTCAGTATCCTCCCACCCACCTCCTCCTTCTGCCTCCCTGCTTGCTTGTCTGTTCTCCCGTTCTCCCGTTCTTCCTCTTCCTCTCATTGGGCTTGCAGGTCGAAATAGAGCAGAAATATTTCGAGTACGAGAGGAGGAGAATGGCGGACTTTATGCCCCTCCCTCCCTCCAAAGAGGTTCAAAATCTCCAGCTGCTCCCCACCTGATCCTCGTGCAGGAACTTGGATGGGCCCTCGCCTGTGCGGGAAGCAGGACGTTCACAGCCGGTGAGGGGAGAGAGAGAGGAGGAGAAGAGAGGAGGAGAAGAGAGAGGAGGGGAGAGGAGAGGAGAGGGGAGAGAGGAGAGGAGAGGAGAGGAGAGGAGAGGAGAGGAGGAGAGGAGGAGAGAGAGAAGAGGAGGAGAGGACAGGAGATGAGAGATCAGGAATTTAGCAGGAGGGAGGCAGGAGGGAGGCAACAGCACGGAAGCAAGGAGGATGATCGGTAGAGGATCAGGAAGTCGAACGGGTTGACTTGCTTGCTTGCAGACTTTGGGGATGGGAGACCTGTAGGTCAGTGCATGTGCCCGATCGCGGATATGGTGAACCATGAAGATGTAAGGAGGGAGGAGGGAGAGGAAAGGCGATGAAATAGAGACATTGGGAAGGGGAGGACGAGGACGAGCTCGAGGCAGAGGAAGAGGCAGAGGACGAGGACGAGGCAGAGGACGAGGATGATGGAAGATCGAGGACGAGGCAGAGGAAGAGGAAGAGAATGAGGACGAGGACGAGGACGAGGACGAGGACGATGGAAGGTCGAGGACGAGGCAGAGGAAGAGGAAGAGAACGAGGATGAGGAAGAGGAAGAGGAAGAGAACGAGGATGAGGCAGAGGAAGAGGACGAGGACGAGGAAGAGGAAGAGGACGATGGAAGGACGAGGACGAGGACGAGGACGAAGAAGAGGACGAGGACGAGGATGAGGCAGAGGAAGAGGAAGAGGACGAGGCAGAGGCAGAGGAAGAGGGAGAGGAAGAGGGAGGGGACAAGTTAGCGGAAGAAGAGGAGGCAAGAGGATGGGAGGGCAGAGGAAGGTGGAGGTAGTACTAGTGTAAGAGGAGACAAAGTAAGGAAGGAGAAACGAGGTGATCGTTTCATACAGGAGGCTGAACCAGCGTTCCGATGGAACCCTGAAGAGGTAAAGAGAAGTACCAAAAACGATGATGAAGATGAAGATGAAAATGAAGATGAAGATGAAGATGAAAATGAAGACGATAATCATGATCATGATATGGTGGTGATGGTGATGGTGATGGTGATGGTGATGGTGATGGTGATGTTGATGGTGATGATGGTGATGGTGATGGTGATGGTGATGGTGATGGTGATGGTGATGGTGATGGTGATGGTGATGGTGATGGTGATGGTGATGATTGTTCAACACGACCAAACACCTTTTCGTTGACACTAATGTCTATCTGATAGGAATGTTTCGAACTATTTGCTCCTCGATCGCGCCAACGGGGGGAAGAAATATGCATTTCATATGGAGATGTAATAATTGCGAAGAGGACGTTGAAGAGAAGGGGGAGAGCACGTGTTGATGATGAGAACATTGACGACGATAACGAGGAGGAGGAGGAGGAGGAGGAGGTCAATGGTGGTGATGGTGGTGGTGATGGTGGTGGTGATGGTGATGGTGATGGTGATGGTGATGGTGATGGTGATGGTGATGATGATGAT